TAGTGTTAGGTTTCGGGATAGGGATAAGGTTACAACAACATTTTCAGACTGGGATGTTGTTCCAGGATCAACAAAATATGTTGATCCATGAACGAGTCTAACTCAAAAATCAGGACATGCATGTTTGCACTAGGGTACTGCAAACTGTGCAGTGTATGTGCTTTCTAATATTTTTTATGAATAGTAGGCCTGTGAAATCGTACATATTGTGCAGCTTTTCCATTACAATGCACTCAAGTCAAATCAGCATTTATAGCAGATAAGCTGAATTAATACAATTCTTCAACTATCTGAGAAATCATCCGCTGTTAACGCAAATAAACCTCATACAGAGTTTAGAAGCAAGAAACAAAGTGACAGAACCTGTACTAAAGCTTGTACTAACATCATACTATACTTTTAAGCGATGGCGACATTTCAGAATTAAATCTTACACTGATGAGGACTTTTTCTTGCTTAAGATATGTAGTAAGCGTTATGTCGAATCCCAGCATTGGTTTACATTTTTTTTTATGTAATTTATTTTAAAACAATTGTTTTTAATGAGTCAAAACAGCAGTGGCAGTCAGTTAACTGCTCAAAATACATTATTCACGGATATTGCTCTATTTTTTCCTTACTTTTAGGAGGGGCAAATTGTGATGTAATTTGTGACATTCTCTCTGATAACAAAATCACCTGTAACCACAGGCCTCAAACCTCAGACCATTTGAAGACCAAAACAATGTTCGTCCACGAGTAACTTGGAGTTGAAGGCCTCAAACACTACACTGATTTTTTTATATATTTTTTCAAATGTACTTAAATTTTTCTTTGTCAAGTTTTTTCACGCATATTTTTTAAGTAAATTTCACATATGGAATTAAGTAAACTCTACTTAACTAAGTTAAGTAAAATTAACAAAGAAAATAAGTCATTTTAACTTGGCCAGTAAAAGGTTGAGTACCCTAATATCTATTTAGTTGAAGTTTCCTTTGCAATACACTTTACTCAAACAATATAACACTGAATTAAACCACACTTTTAAAGTGTATGCTTTACTTACTAAGTAAATAATACAATACATTTTGTGTAGATACCATATCAACATATTAGAAATTGCAGCACCTGAACACAGAGACCTCAATACTTGATACACAATACACAATGACGGTAACATTCGATGGATCGTTTTTCAGCAATGCATGTATCATTTTGAGTAGAAAATTAACTCCAAATGTCACAAAATGGCAATACTAAACCTAACAATGATAAAACAGTGTAAATACAACTGGAAAACAGTGAAAAATCAACCTTATTAATTATTAATGCCCCAGGATGGGAACACCAGTATTAGAAAAGTTGAGTAGTTTTACTTAATTTTATAACGTTGATATTTACGCATTAATATACAAGCTTGATTTGAATGTAGAATTTGCTTAGTTTTTTTTATTCTTGCCTAACTAATTTTTTCATGCAGAAATTACATTTGGGGTTTTTTTGTTTTGTTTTATGTAGTATTTACTGTAGTATCAGTTTAGGAAAAATATAGTCTAGCTTTATGTTAAAATCTTTTTACAGTTTCTTAAGAGGCAGGCACACTAGAATTTTAGACATAAAATTTTTCTTAAGACTCTGTAACAAACAAGATACCTTTTTAAAAGAAAAAAAAAACACACACACATAAATTTAACATAAAACAATAATGATTCCAAATGTAAAATACACAATTTCTCCATGTTTCTGCAGCAATGCAATTTCTGTGGTTCTGCAGCTTTAAAGTGGATGCTCTTTTCATCTGTGGTCACACGTCAAATTCACAGGTAAAGTTCACCTACCTTGAATATGGGAGGCAATGAAATGTGCATGAATTTCTTTGCATGAATATGCATTTCTGGTCTCCTGCATTCACATGCATATGGAATGCAAACTGTAGTGTGACCATCTTTTTAATCTAAATGGGTAATTTTTTTATAATTAGTAAGTAGATAAATTCAACTAAAATATTTATATTTTTAAACACCTAATTATTAACACTTGTGTCATTGTACTGTTTTTGCACATGTTGGTTCTTCCTCTTTTGTTTGCCGCTTGGCTCATCTCCTCACCCAGCCAGACTCCATTTGTGAATCATGGCAGTGAATTACAGCAGATTGGAGATTGGAAAAGCGGGCTGCGAACGCCCCCCGTGTTATTCCCCAACCACAGCTCACATTACAGTACCGGACCTCTCAGCCAACCGTCCTCCGCAAGTTTACATGGGCAAAGCCCTCTCTCCCCACAACAACCAAAAAGATTACCCAAGTACACTTATTCTGTGTTATTTTAACTGCTCTCTCATTCAGCCCCGATTCATCCAAACACTGCTGAAAGAAAGGATAACAAATAAAGTGGTATTGCTGTGTAAATTCTCTGCGTGCCCACATTTTTTAACAATGTCTCATAAAACAGTGCCTGCAAGTGGTCGTAAAAAATGTTGTCTTCACTCAGTTCCTCTAACTTCGGCTTGGCCTGTTTGTAGAGAGCATGAAAAAGTGCTGCGATCTGCGACTTTGTTTAACCCATTTGACATCTCTGTTTATTATCTTTGGGTGGGGGGGGGATGATACATAAAGACTAAACTAAACTGTTAAGTGTTATAAGCTTATGTTAGAGCTCGGTTATAATACGGCAGTTCATATCGTTCATACACACACACATACACATGCACAAACACATAAACCACCCTGATTATAAGCCCCATCAATTCAGTTGAGATCTATTTAAAGTGCACACACTCACGCCGTCCTTCTTTTCTCTCCGTCTCGTTCTCTCTCATCCTCAACGCAGCGCAGTAAGCCAACACCAGCGCTGTGATCCCAGTCTGTGCGGCTCTAAACCAGAGATGACATCACACACCCCACCAAACCTCCCTCCATTTTCTCAAACAAAGCAGAGTCCAAACCCAGATCTATAATTGCAGTCTTAATCTGTACGCTGCCAGAAGCAGTATAGACCTCGGGTTTGGGGCTCGGCCAGCCTCGCAAACACGCGCTCCCAGTTTGGGCCGAAAAAGGCCGAGGAGGATGGAGGATGGTCAGTCTCTGAAACCCACACTGAGAGCCAAGCATGCCATGGTGAGACCTGTTCAGAAAAAGTACAGATGCCATTTATTCGTCTGCATTTGTTCAGCCAAGAGTTTCGATAATCACAGCGAATTTCATATCACGCAATCTATTTGCCATTCAGTGCCCATGTAATCACCCTGTATGGACTGACATTTATAGCTATATATGGGGGGGAAGGCTGTCTCAAGACAGGAATTAAAGCCTCTAGCAAACATGACTGTAATTATACCCTTCCACTTGTGAGCGGCATTTCAAATGAAAATTTCTCTATAACGCGCTCAGGAATTTGCAGTGCTAGTGTTAGTGTCAATCTAGTAAAATTCCAAGGAAAACAAAAACGTTCTCAGACAAATATATCACAAAGTTGGTGTACGGATCCTCCAGTAAGAATAAAACACTATTCCAGCTACTGCTCTGAACTTCCTTAGAGACTGAAACAACATTCCAGCTATTAACCTGGAAAGCAACTTTTTGGTCAACGTGGACAACCCCTATTCCAATAGTGGGAAACTCATTTATGGTCCATCTCAGACAGTGTTTTGTGATGTTCTTCTCACCAATTCAAATTCACAAGTGCTCTGATGAGACGGAAGAGCATTATGCATGAGGATGCATCGATATGAAAATTGTGGCTGATCAGCTGTTTGTTAGGATTGTGTTTTGTTCTGCTTAGTTTCATTGTGTTTTGGTTCTGAGTTCCCTATTCTGGTTAGCCTGTGTTCCCTGTCATTGTAAGATGACAAAGGCTACGTTCAGACTGCCAGCCCAAATCCGATTTTTGTGCATATCTAATTGAAATTCGCTCAGATTTAGCAAGTGTGAACAACGACAACAACAAAAAAATCACATGAAATGATTTTTGAAATGAAATTCTGTTCAAATCGCATTTCTGGAAATCTTTTTCAGTCCGATTGCTCTGCGTTTCCCAAAAGTCCAAATCCGATTTTTGTGCATATCTGATTGAAATCCGATCAGATTTTTACGCCACATAAAACATAAACGTCAGATGTTGTTATAGGAAACATGCTGAAAGTCGCTGCAAACAAAGTTGTGTTACAAAGTGACGGACAAGCAGAAAATGACAATACTCATGTTTTGAAACCGGCGGAGGCGACAGCACGGAATAAAGCCGTATGCCTACCAATGCAACATCATCGCCAATGCAGATATTCCGGAAACCGAAAGAGCAGCATGAGCGGCACACGAATCGGATCTGAACAGTTGCAATACACAACTTTAAGCAAGCCATTAAATTGATCAAAAGTGACAATAAAGACTTTTCCAATGTTACAAAAATATTCTATTAAAATAAATACGTTCTTTTTGATAAATTAAATAATCCTGAAAAAAAAATCCACAAAAATATTAAGCGGCACAACTGTTTTTAACATTGATTTGATAATAAATGTTTCTTGAGCAGCAAATCATCATATTATAATGATTTCTGAAGGATCATGTGACACTGAAGACTGGAGTAATGATGCTGAAAATACTGCTATCACAGGAATAAATTACATTTTTTAAATATATTAAAACAGTTATTTTAAATTGTAATAAAATTGCACAATATTAAGGTTTTAAATGCATCATTGGAGAGCATGAATGTTTTCTTTCATTAAAAATGTTAAAATAAACTACTGAACCCAAACTTGTCACCGCCGATTGCAAGGAAGGGTGAAACAAACTCAAATCTTCACAAAACAGAATCTCAGGAACAAAACAACCAATGTATCACAACATAGAACTGACAATGAACTGAAAAACACAGGGCTTAAATAGACAGAAAACAAGAGAGGGCCAATTATTAACTAGACACACCTGAACAGAACTAACTCAATCAGTAACCATAGAAACAAACAGGGAGAGAACGGAGGTGAACAGAACTTAGGTTACGTTTACACGACAACGTTATGCTTAAAGGAGCTGTATGTAAGATTGGGGCCAAAACTGGTACTGCAATCACTTTCAAATTACTGTAGAGCGGTGTATCCCCTCCCCCTCCTCCCTGACTCGAGGTTGCCAGATCGGCTGCAGGATCCAGCAGGAACGTAGTCTGCTACAAGAAGTGGTAACTAGAGCAGAGCTGGCAACCCGGATGCCGCAACACTACTGACTTCGTGATTGGTAGATAGTGGAGGGCGGAGCATCAGACCAAAACACAACATGACCACATCAACATCAGTTGAGGGCTGCAACTTCACTTTTTAAATGACAATATCCTGGCCAGACTACTGTTGTCAGTGATATAAGTATTTGAAATGAACATGATTTCTTAATGTCTAGTGACATATCAGGGCCATTTTATGATTAACTGAAATAAATGTATTACATACAGCTCCTTTAAACCTGAGAAGTTTTTACTTAAAGGCACACTGTGGAACTTTTCAACCTTTATAATATATTACCAAAACCCATTGTGATGGTACATCGACTTACAATAGGTTGAATGACACGTCTGCCGTAGCCTGAAGGTGTCTGTATCGCTTTTACTAGCACTATGTAACTTCGGGTTTCGGGTAGGAACCCGAGCACAAAAAGAACTACAAAATTCGACCGCTTTACGGCATACGTCACTTCCCCCACCACCCCAACTTCCTCAAATTCTAACGTGAGAGCTCAACTCGCGTTTGATTGCCGGCGTCTGTATGTTGTCGTCATGGCTGAATCAACAGCTACTCGGAAGAAAGCGAAGAAAGCAAAGATTTTGTCAGAGGAGACCAAAAAAAAAAGGGAGAGTTTAAAATAAACATCGGCATAAAAGTGTATATAATGTAATATTTACTGCGAATTCGTGTAACAAAACTGATATACCGTAAGTCACAACATACTGCCGTATACAAATGTAAATGTAAATGTTTTTTTTCCTTTCAGCTCATATATGTTTGTATTTGTGTAAAAGGAAAAACAAACTGAAGACTACAAATAACGGAAATATGTAGTGAGTTATATCAGTTTTGTTACACGATTTCCCGACTACTCGATTTCATCTCCAACCCATTGCAAAGAGATCCTGAAGACGTTAATTGTTTGCTTCAGGTGTGTTTGATTAGGGTTGGAGATGAACTGTGCAGGACAGACGATCGGCAGGAGCAGGATTGGGCAACCCTTGTCAATGCGACTTACCTGATCAGACATTGTTTTCTACTTTTATTCAATTTGTTTTCTTTATAGGATTTATATTATTAATCTTATATTTATATTATTATTTTGGTCAGTAGTGAATCGATTAACTTTCTCCAACATACAAATCAAATGCCGTCTGCACACACATAAAGACACGGGAGGTTGACCGGTTGACTGTTTGTTGACTTTTGCGACAATGCTTGTGGCCTCTAGGGGCACTAGACGTGAAAATTACAGGTCGAGCGCACCCTAGTGGCCAAAAATTCCACAGTGTGCCTTTAAGGCGCTGTTTACACGACACCGTTTTCAACTAAAAATGTAAAGCTTTTTATGCGCTTTGGCCGTTCATTTACACTCCACAATGTGCCTGAAAACGCAAACTAAGTGCAAGTTTTTGAAAAAGGTGTAAACAAACAAAAAAAAAAGTTTTCCACGTAGCCTACAGACGACACCATTGTCAAAACGATCCCCAGTCACACGGATTCGCGAAAACGACTAAAAACGCTGTAGATTGCTGCCAAGCCATTAGATGGTGATGAAACACTATAGACTGAACACGTAATACGCATGTGCATGACATCATCGTTTTTAGAGATTTTTTTTGTTGTTTACATGGAAACTCGTTTTCGTTTTCAGGCATCCAAAACCCCACTGTTGTGTAGGCCTAATTGAACGGCCAAAACGCTTTTAAAAAGTTTAACGTTTTTAGTTGAATCCGGTGTCGTGTAAACAGCCCCTCAGACATTCACAGAACAGGAAAATAGATTCAGAAACAAACTCAAAACGTGACAAAACTTTTGGAATATTTAATGATTCCAATAAAAAAATATATCTTACATAATCTGTGATTATGAGATATGTTTTATGTGTTTCAGAATGATCTAAGAAATTGGGAAATTAAACATTTCTGAACAACCACTGAATCTCCAGTTACATGTGACCCCGAGGCAGGAAAAGCTTTGGGTCTAACTAATCACTAATTTTCATTTTTCAAAATGTCCTTCTTCCAATGGATAGGATCCTAAAAATTAACCTCCATCATTAATAAAATCTGAAAGGAAAACCCCCACCATAGGCTATTCAGTTTTTCTGACCACTACATAGCTTTTCGCAGTGCTTGTAGAGGTTAATTTCTCCACAGCAAACCTCATGATCGAGCACCATATTAAGGGTTCTTCCAAGGTCTTGCGAGCCAGCAGTGGACAGCATTGTGTTCCGTTACTTCTTCCAAAGTTCCACGACTTTTCCCAGAATCCTCGGTCCCTGCCAGGCCGTATATTGTGCTGTCATCTGTTGCACTCTAATGAAAAGTCATGGAAGACAGCGGTTGCATGTGTATACTTGTACTTTTAAAGGCTTAATTTATAGGCTGTGTTAGCGGACAATATGCAGCATTAATAAAGTCGCTACATATGCAGTCTGCTAATGTTCCTTCATATGTCTTACTCATATCTCCAGCATTATAATAAATACTGTGGGTCAGATTCTTCAGCTCTTAAACTGACAGGATTGTGTGGTTTGAATATTTACTTTCGACCGTGCATTGTGGGGGATCATATGTGCAGTAAAAACCAGTTCAGTAACTCAACAACCGACCAATGAAAACACACTGGTGTCCAAAGCAGAGATTTTAGAAATCAAAAATCTGATGTTGGGCATATTTTAAATAGCGTCTCAGAATATTTATTCACAATTCATATTGAGGTTAATTCTTTTTTTTTCCACGTCAAACATCCCCATTTTCACGTAGACACCTGATATATTGCCTGTTTATTGTTATTTAGCTCTTGAGGCCAATTTTGAAAATCCATGCCAGGATTTCTGAATTAAAGTCACTGAAACAACTTTACCCTTTGAAAAAAACCCTTTGATATGGATTTGATGTGTTTTCAAGGCTGAAATGGTCAGTTGTTAATGGGAGTTTGCTTACAAGGAGCACCTTGAGCCAGGCTGAAAAGAAATGTAGCCTGAGGCCCCTCACAGTTTATTACCCCACTGATACTAATCTGAAGGGCCTTATTAAATTCATATTGTGCTATTTAACTGACAGCCAGGTTATAGGAGAGGCAGTCAAGCCAAATATTTCTTTCTAAGACTACAGTCTGATTGGTCATCTTCCAATTTAAGATCACTAATTAAAGCAATATGACACAAATTTGTCATTTGCTATTGCTGTCTTCTGCACTGTAAAACATTATATGATCAATACGTTTAAAAAAAAAACAAATGTATAAGTTATACAAGATTCATCTTATTTAAAAGTCAGTTTAATGTAATTTAAGTTGAAATGACAAACATCCAAGTTGATTGTACTTAAAAATGTAAGGCAGCTACTTTTTTTTAACAGTGCATGTTTAGTAAATTAAAATTTAAAAATACATTTCTGGAAAACAGAGGTGCCACTTCCTTCCGACTGCAGCTTTGCTCAGTGATTCAGCACAGGTGGTAAACAGTTACACACACACACATTTACACCCCATTAGCTTTTCATTAATGAGTTGCACTTGTGTTTCTCATGCTGAAGATTCTCCTCCTGTTCCCAACAAGCCCCTCGATGGCTGGCCTGTGCCATCTGAGCTAGCAAAGCCTCCCAAAGCTCATTTTCCCAGACATTGCCAAATACTTATGCTGTCTGTTTCCACAAGGCTCCTTCAGCTGGTAACCCGAGAGTGAAACAATCGGTGCAATTATGTTGTTTTGAGAATAATATCATTGGGGATGAAGAATGTGAGTCATGCTTTGGTAAGTGTGTTTCTTTAACAGCGTGTGAGTACACGTTTACTCGAGGAGAGAGAAGTATGGTGAGCTGTAAATGTTTGGAAAACAAAAATACCTAACGAATAAGTAACTAAAGGGGTCATCGGATGCAAAATTCACTTGTATATGGTGTTTGCATATGTCTTTGCAGTGTGTGGACACAACCACCATAGACCATATAATGAAAAAAATCCATTCACTCCTTTATTTTTTTCTCCTCAAAAAGCCTAAACACTCTCAATAATCAAGCCGTTTGGGTTTTCTGAGCAATATGATGTCATATTGCTCATGCTCCGCCCACGACCACTGACGGACTGTCCCGTATTAGCATATTTCCGCCCTCAGCCATTTGTATTCTGTCAGCCAGGGCAGCACTTTACGTGTCTTGTGTCGACACACGGCCCATGGAAGAGAGGGGTGAGGTGAGCAGTTGCTCATTATCATTTAAAGAGACATGCACCGAAACAGGTCGCTGTGAACAGAGCTGTTTTTAAGGAGGTAAAAGGGGTGTTGTTTTACACAACCATTGAGGAATTTTAACCAATTTATGTTACAAACTTTACACAAAGACCCTAAAGAATCATACCAACTTGTGGAAAATGTATAAATAGAGTAATGGCATCACTGAAACTGAATCGAAGAGTGGTAGTGATTCAGTTTGATTCATTACAGCTGTTGACACTCCAACAGTAAAAACATGAGATGCAACTGTCTTTAAAAATGTTGCTTTCAGTTCCCCACACCATTGAATACTTACAAAAAATAAGTTTATTCAAGTGTGCTGTTAGTATACTTATTTTAAACTAATAATATGAGAGTATAGTTTCAACCTACTTATGTACTTCTGGACATACTTAAATTTATACTTAAACTTGGCTTATAAGTACAGAACAGTCTATTTTGTGTCAGATCCAGTCATTTCAATGTTGATTCAGTCCAGTTCAATAACAGTGTCGGTGTTGCAAAATTCATCAAATATGAAACAAAGTCGAATCAGCTAGAAGACAATAGTGTCATCATCCAGCTTAATTCAGTTCAAGTTTTGTTCTCATCCATCATTGTCAGTGTAGTCAAATCGATAATATTACTGAATATAAAGTGTACCTACAAGAATATGTAGAAAATACACTTGAGCTTTACTCAAGTTTACTTAATAAAATGAACTTAAAAGTATACTAGTCTTCTTATTTGTAAGGGAATACTTTCAAATACGAACACCAACTCATCCATGTCTATCCATGTCTGATTTTGGTTTCACTTATTTTTCCCAATGGAAATCCTTTCTGACATTTCCCAATAGCTTTGGCTGGAGCGTCGGTATGCGTCCCATTGCTGTTAAAAAAACTCTGACAAGTTAGAAAAGTGCAAAAGAGGCTTCAAGTTTGTCTCTTGAGTTCATATCAGCAGCACAATCTGTGGACAGCTGTACAAAAGAGCACCGCAACAGAGACAGTGACTTATGAAACAGCCATCTGACTCCCTGCTATGAGTGTTTAACTCTTTCACAACTAAACCCGATGAAAACCTCGATTCCTTAAGGAGGATGAAAGCCCACAAGCGCACTTAAAAAATGATTTTCCACGCACAGCCTGATGTGGAGGATTCCGTCGATCTTGTTTAGAGGCCTGGTTGTTGCTCTGGTCGATCTAGCACAGTATTTGAACATTTCCCCATTGTGTCGGCCTCTGCTCACATCCAAGGCCTTGTCGTCGTTTCAGGAATCTTTGAGGAATGAGAGGAATTTTGCGCTTTTCTCAGCCTCCGCTTCTCTTTACTTCGGGTTGTCCGAATGGCCGGGGCCCTTAAGTTTTTCTTTTGTTTTTTTTGAATGGCGACCAACAATAACAACATCCCATAAACAATGGAGTTGGTTGAGTTAATGGGGAGCGGGGGGGTGAAGTGTTATTGCGTTTGGCAGCTGCTGCGCTGGCAGGCTCTCGAGTGAGGGCTAGCAATGTGCTCTTTGTGGTAGTGAGGAGATATTATGTCAGTTCTTGGATATGCGGCAGGTCCCGCGGGACAGAGGACTCTGCATCCTTTAGTAAACCCCCTCTGTCTCTTCTCTGTTCCTTTCTCACATGCATTCATTTTAACAGACACAATGCCATTGACAAAGCACCTGAAGCACTAGGTCACTCACACATGGTTAAATAGCAAACTAACAACGCAAAGGTTAAACATTTTCCTGGTGTAGGCTACTTAATATTTCATTTGCTATATGTAAAGTGGCTGAGCATGATATCATCGTGTCATACTTAACGTTGTGTTTAGCCTGTGCAAGATCTCATTCATTGGACCCTCACACACAAAGCGCCTCGGTAAAAAGGGGCAGGGCCTTGGGCCTCGTCGATGCACAGGTGCTGTCCCGGTCCCGCTGCCATGACAACAGGTCTTGGTTGGCACAGGGTCCTGGCCGAGGTGTGCTGCTCTCAGGTTACAGATTTTGAAACTTTTGAGGGCCAAATGACTCTTCCAACTCTCAGTGCCAAAGTAACATAAGAAATCTAATCGGGAACAATAGCAACAGAACTATTACTAAAGCACAGTTTAGTGGTGAAAATGTCCCTAGTGAAAATTAAATGTACCCAAATGTATTTGAAATACATAAATGTTATGCTAAGTATACTACAAATACATTTACATATGTATCTACTTAATATAAATACCCTGCAATTGTACTTATGGTATATTTAAAGTCTGCTAAATTGGAACAACTAATTGTATAGGCTACTTAATGCACTTTAGTTACCGTAACCAGAAATAGAGCTGAGGTCCAACTAAAGATATACCTAAGTATATTTGATTGTGCTATAGTGGAACTATTGCAAGTATACTTTAGGTATACTTTAAATATCTTGCATTTAAAGACTGATTTTATACAGAGATCATACTATCCTTACTAATAGTGATATTAAAACACATTTTAGGCTTAATATTAAGAAATGTGCATTTGCATTGTGCAATAAAGAAGTACTTCACATAAAGTTTAATTATAATAGTTATTTCAGTAAGTCTCAAGAAATATGTCAGTATGTTAATAGGTTTGTAGTATAATTAGTATGAAATAAATACAATTTTACTAGGGGTATTAAAAAAGGTCTACTGTGTGCAAATAGCAATACTAACAGAAAACAAAGGTTTTGTGTCAGATTTCAGGTTTTTAATAGAGGTTTCTCACTTGTGTAATACATTTTCATGTAAAGCATGATGAACTATAACCAAAGGTCTGAAAATATTCTTCCCAGAAGGTGAAGTGTGACCGCCATCTAGTGGTCATATTTTTTCAAAACAAATAGGCAGGTTGAGGAACAGTTCCAAGATATTTTATTCATAATAGATATAGAATAATATTATGTCACTCTGTACATACACCAGAATTAATTAACACAACTCATTAAAGTGATTCATGAACATAATATTTTTAAGTGCTGACTAACAAAGCAAAAATTTTTTAGGTTGTTGATCAGTCATTCTAGTTTCAATCCTATTCCCACACAAAACACACACACACACACACACACACACACACACACACACACACACACACACACACACACACACACACACACACACACACACACACACACACTTAAAGCCTCATTTGCATGGTGGCAAATAGCTATTGTAAGTGTGTCACAAATACACAATCCTCCTCACTGAGTTACACATCAGTCCTCCTCATGTATATTCATTCAGTTTTCATCCACACATGTATCACTGGAATCATGATTTTGGCTTGTAGGGATCAGACCAGATCTTCACACCTAATTCAAATAGGACACATAACAGGACAATAATATAAAGAAACGATTGTCCGTTAAATAGCATTCATGTGGGCCTAATGCAAATAAACTGTAGTAGGCTATGTACTAGAATCTATATTCCTGCCAGTAAACAATCCTACTTAAAGCTTTAAACTACTAATCACATGTGTTATGTCAGGTATCACATTTATTTTTACAGCCCTACTTGCTAACAGTGTAATAAATCAAACTCACAACACTTAACAGATATCATGAAGAGTGAGCATGACTTACCAACAGGCTGCACATCTGCTTGATTGACTCCAGATCGATTCGTCTTCTGGACCTGCTCTGTAAACACAACAATTCAGACTCTAGAGAAACGCTGACGTTCAACTTTTTATTTGGTGAATCTTATAAAAACAAAACTTCCACTTTACTTTTGGGTTTCCTTTTTGTTTGTTTGAGCTCCCATTTTATTATTATTTTTTAAATGTTTAAAACAATTTTTAAAAAATGTGTTTTAATTTAATCTCAGTGTGGTATTTTGATGTATTATTTAAACATGTTAATATTTTGAATTATATAATATTTTTATAAATTTACTTTTATTTTAATTTGAGTATTTTTGTCATTTTTATTCGTTTTTGTTTTTATATGTCTGTATAGTTTTTATTAAGTTTTACTTTTTAGATTTAGTTTGTTATTGTAGTACTTCAACTTAAGCTAAAGAATGAGAAATGTTGTCTTGGCAGCTTGCAGAAATAAAATACGTTAAAAAAACCATTTAATTTTATTTTAGTACATGTTTATTTTATTTCAAGTAATTAATGTAATTTTTGTATGTTTTTTGTTTTAGTTAATTATAATATAAAGCATAGATTAAAGACGGCAAAACATTCTACAGTCAGTGACGTATAAATTCTTCACAAATAGTCTAATATTTGCATTAATGCTTTCCCTACCTAAACTGAAATAATGATTATAAGACTACGGGGTCAGAAAATGCAATATAATAGAACGTGATGTTATTTTAGATTACATAAATTTACAAACAACAACACATGTGCAGTGTCATAGTGAGTGATAAAGACTTACTGTAGTCTTCAGAGTGAGTGAGGGGATGGAAAAATATTGGATAAAAAGCCACAGCAACAGCTGCAATAAAGCCTCCAAATATAAGCGTTATCCTCTTATTTGTGGACATGATTTTGACAGATTCACCTCATCCGAGGACAAAAATCAACTCAATCTAGCTTTTCCGGGTTGAAGTTCACATATTAAAAACAAGTTCAAAGTCTTCTATTAATCGACAGTTGTTCTATATTAAAAGTCTGTATTCAAAATGATTATCGTTTTAAATATTATTTACACACATATTGATATTATACTCGTAAAATGTTAAATTTATGTGCTATCGGTATGGCAGAATAATAATTGATAGCGGGACTTTTATTCTGTCGAATGTTCTCCCGTCATGCAGTGTGTGTAGTGTTGCTGTGTCAGTGCGTGCAGTGATCGCTGTCTTTCATCAGTAATAATGTCCGGTAGTAACTCATACAGACTGCGCTGCTCTCTGCCCGCGCACGAGATGGATGTCAGGGGTCTCGCCGCTGCCGCCTTTCCGGACGGAGCCTTTGTGTCCGTGTCCAGAGACCGAACCGCTCGGCTCTGGGTACCGAACCCGAGGTACATCACCAACAGCTTCCTCCTCCTGCTACTGCTGTGTATAATATCGTTACCCGGTTTACTTTTGTTTCCGTTGTTTACTAAGCTAAGTGGTTTACAGTTTGTATAGTTAATGTATTGAGATGGGCTGCCTAATCAAGTGAAATTTGCCAACTCATGAGCATCATATCTGAAACGAAACTGACCGGTGTTGGTTTCCTGACATACAACACTCCACTAATGTAACGTTAACGTTAAAGGAATAGTTCACCCGAAATGAATAAGAAATTATTTACTCACTGTCTTATTATTCCAAACCTGTATGGATTTTCTTTCTTCCTGCATATTTTTTTTTCATATAATGGCCGTAAAGGGTGACTGAGGGTGTCATTTTGCCTTTTGTGATCCACCGAAGAAAGTCATACACATTGTTGACAGAATTGTCATTTTTGGGTGAACTGTCCCTTTAAACTTCTCCAAGCGTTCTCTGGATTCGATTCATATTAAATTAGACAAAAATTAAAAACAAAACATAGGTAAAACAAATAAATAAAATCATATATATACACTACAGCTCAAAAGTTTGGTGTCATTATTTTCTTTTCTTTCTTCAAAAAAAGGTGAAGAAAATAAGTTTTATTCTGCAAGGATGCATTAAATTGATCAAAAGTGACTGTAAAAACTTGTATCTGCTTACTTCAAATAAATGCTGTTCTTTTAAACGTTTTATTCATCAGATAATCCAGAAGAAAATATTTCACACACACACATATTAAGCAGAATACCTCTTTTCAATATTGATAACAATAATTTTTTTGAACAGCAAATTAGCATATTAGAAGGTTTTATGAAGGATCATTTGACACTCAGGACTGGAGTAATTATGCTGAAATTTCAGATTTGCTATCACAAGAATGAATTCTGTTTTAAATTGTATTAAAATAGAAAATGGTTGTTTTGTAATTCACAATATTGCTGTATTTTTGATCAAATAAATGCAGCCTTGCTGAATAAGATACTTCTTTAAAAAAACATTTAAAAATCTTACCAACCACAGACTTTTGAATAGTAGAGTATAAAGGATACATTTTAAAGGCATAATAAAAACAGTCCTATTAAAAATGACATAAACACTGTTAACATAGCTAACTCTTCTGTATTTTGTTGCAGTGAAAACCAGGCCTTTACTGAGATGCTCTGCATGAACGGCCACTCAAACTTTGTGTCTTGTGTGTGTATCATCGCTCCGAATGAAACATATCCCAGAGGGCTCATCGCCACTGGAGGACACGACAACAACATCTGTGTGTTTTCTCTAGACCGACCAGACCCTCTGTTCACCCTCAAGGGTCACAAAAACACAGGTACTGTCCACTGCTAATTATTTATTACAGTGGTTTAACTGCATGCAGATGTTCTTGAAATGCCCTGGAATGATTTCTGTACCCATTCCTGGTGTTTTTGTGTGTGTTTACAGTCTGCACACTCTCAGCTGGCAAATTTGGCACAATACTGAGTGGCTCATGGGACACTACAGCCAAAGTCTGGCTCGGAGAGAAGTGCATGATGACTTTACAGGTAAAATGCCAGGGTTCTTGTTCTTGCTATCACCACAGTAGGGCTGCACTATTAATCAAAATAAAACCGTAATCGCAATTTGGCTTAGTGTGATTATCATCAGGTCGCAAAGGATGCGATTTAATTCAATAAATATATGGCACTGTGTTCTTTTACACGTGAGCAGCTCATGATCTGATGTTTTCAGTGTTTTGGAGCAGCTCGGTTCGCAGTAAATGCTGCTTTACATGAACTCATCTTATCTATGCATTTGAGTTTTGGTCACTTATAATATCTATTGGGGAGCACAACATGTGCCGACTATCTTCCCAAATTGTGTTCATGAGCTCACACTTACTGTACATGCAATCGTATAGAGTTAAAGGGATAGTTCACCCAAAAATTAAAATTCTGTCGTCAATTTCTCACCTGATGTCGTACCAAACCCGTAAGACTTTCGTTCATCTTTGGAACACAAATGAAGATCTTTTTGATGAAATATGAGAGATTTCTGTCCCTCCATTGACAGCTACGCAACAACTACTTTGACGCTTCAAAATGTTCATAAAGAGACAGTAAAACTAATCCATATGAATTGAGCGGTTTAGTCCAAATTTTCTGAAGAGACACGATTGCCTTATATGATGAACAGATTGAATTTAGGCTTTTATTCACATATAAACATTCATCAACTCACACATCAGTTGTGGTAAACGGAAACTCAAGCATGTTCTCTTTGAGAACTTCAGCAAGAACGAATGACGTTCATCCTCGTGTTACGCAGCGTGTTTGAGCTTCGGCAAGAACCAATGAGGTTCATTCTCGTGATACGCAGCGTGTTTGAGCTTCGGCAAGAACCAATGAGGTTCATTCTCGTGATACGCAGCGTGTTTGAGCTTCGGCAAGAACCAATGAGGTTCATTCTCGTGATACGCAGCGTGTTTGAGCTTCGGCAAGAACCAATGAGGTTCATTCTCGTGATACGCAGCGTGTTTGAGCTTCGGCAAGAACCAATGAGGTTCATTCTCGTGATACGCAGCGCGTTTGAGCTTCGGCAAGAACCAATGAGGTTCATTCTCGTGATACGCAGCGTGTTTGAGCTTCGGCAAGAACCAATGAGGTTCATTCTCGTGATACGCAGCGTGTTTGAGCTTCGGCAAGAACCAATGAGGTTCATTCTCGTGATACGCAGCGTGTTTGAGCTTCGGCAAGAACCAATGAGGTTCATTCTCGTGATACGCAGCGTGTTTGAGCTTCGGCAAGAACCAATGAGGTTCATCCTCATGTTACGCAGCGTGTTTGAGCTTCGGCAAGAACCAATGAGGTTCATCCTCATGTTACGCAGCGTGTTTGAGCTTCGGCAAGAACCAATGAGGTTCATCCTCATGTTACGCAGCGTGTTTGAGCTTCGGCAAGAACCAATGAGGTTCATTCTCGTGATACGCAGCGTGTTTGAGCTTCGGCAAGAACCAATGAGGTTCATTCTCGTGATACGCAGCGTGTTTGAGCTTCGGCAAGAACCAATGAGGTTCATTCTCGTGATACGCAGCGTGTTTGAGCTTCGGCAAGAACCAATGAGGTTCATTCTCGTGTTACGCAGAGTGTTTGAGCTTCGGCAAGAACCAATGACGTTCATTCTTGTGATACGCAGCGTGTTTGAGCTTCGGCAAGAACCAATGAGGTTCATTCTTGTGATACGCAGCGTGTTTGAGCTTCGGCAAGAACCAATGAGGTTCATCCTCGTGTTACGCAGAGCGTTTGAGCTTCGGCAAGAACCAATGAGGTTCATTCTCATGTGTTACGCAGCTTGTTTGAGCTTCGGCAAGAACCAATGACGTTCATTCTTGTGATACGCAGCGTGTTTGAGCTTCGGCAAGAACCAATGAGGTTCATTCTTGTGATACGCAGCGTGTTTGAGCTTCGGCAAGAACCAATGAGGTTCATTCTCGTGATACGCAGCGTGTTTGAGCTTCGGCAAGAACCAATGAGGTTCATTCTTGTGATACGCAGCGTGTTTGAGCTTCGGCAAGAACCAATGAGGTTCATTCTCGTGTTACGCAGAGCGTTTGAGCTTCGGCAAGAACCAATGAGGTTCATTCTCGTGTTACGCAGAGCATTTGAGCTTCGGCAAGAACCAATGAGGTTCATTCTCGTGTTACGCAGAGCGTTTGAGCTTCGGCAAGAACCAATGAGGTTCATTCTCGTGTTACGCAGAGCATTTGAGCTTCGGCAAGAACCAATGAGGTTCATTCTCGTGTTACGCAGAGCGTTTGAGCTTCGGCAAGAACCAATGAGGTTCATTCTCGTGTTACGCAGAGCGTTTGAGCTTCGGCAAGAACCAATGAGGTTCATTCTCGTGTTACGCATCGCGTTTGAGCTTCGGCAAGAACCAATGAGGTTCATTCTCGTGTTACGCAGCGCGTTTGAGCTTCGGCAAGAACCAATGAGGTTCATTCTCGTGTTACGCATCGCGTTTGAGCTTCGGCAAGAACCAATGAGGTTCATTCTCGTGTTACGCAGCGCGTTTGAGCTTCGGCAAGAACCAATGAGGTTCATTCTCGTGTTACGCAGCGCGTTTGAGCTTCGGCAAGAACCAATGAGGTTCATTCTCGTGATACGCAGCGTGTTTGAGCTTCGGCAAGAACCAATGAGGTTCATTCTCGTGTTACGCAGAGTGTTTGAGCTTCGGCAAGAACCAATGACGTTCATTCTTGTGATACGCAGCGTGTTTGAGCTTCGGCAAGAACCAATGAGGTTCATTCTTGTGATACGCAGCGTGTTTGAGCTTCGGCAAGAACCAATGAGGTTCATCCTCGTGTTACGCAGAGCGTTTGAGCTTCGGCAAGAACCAATGAGGTTCATTCTCATGTGTTACGCAGCTTGTTTGAGCTTCGGCAAGAACCAATGACGTTCATTCTTGTGATACGCAGCGTGTTTGAGCTTCGGCAAGAACCAATGAGGTTCATTCTTGTGATACGCAGCGTGTTTGAGCTTCGGCAAGAACCAATGAGGTTCATTCTCGTGATACGCAGCGTGTTTGAGCTTCGGCAAGAACCAATG